AGGAATGCACCTGGTGAAGTGGACAGAGCTTTAATGTGTTTTGTTTTTAGAGGCTGAAGCACCCAGAAATGGGAGCTGCAGGTCAGGACCAAACTGCCCGGGCCAGGCTGTGTGTGTGGGAAGCTGAGTCAGAGCAGAAGTGCTTGTGTTTATCTTCAACAGCAGCTTCTGGCACATTCCAGGAGTGTTCCTGAAATGGAGGGTGTGAGTGAAGACTGACACGTGCCAGAGCCAGGCAGTGTGCCAGAACGAGCTGCCTGTTCTACATGCTAGTGCTTGTGCTGCGTGTCCAGCAGGACAGTCCTGTCCCAAGGGAAGAGTTTCATGGAATCCTTTTGGTTGGAAAAAACCTTTAAGATCACCAGGTCCAACTGTTAACCAGCACTGCCAAGACCACTAAACAAGAACTGTGGGTTAGTCTGGGCTGTGTAACTGTTACCTGTATGTGGGTCTGAATACATCCACAGCTTGGACACGTCTCAGCTTCAAGATGATCATTTCATGGAGCTCCTGCAGGAAGGTTTCCAGCCTTGACTGGACAAGGAAGATGTTGAGGAGCTTGGCCATCTCTGGAGTGAGCTCAGCTTTGTAGGCTGTACTGATGTCTGCAAAAGGATCCTGAAAATGAAGCAGTGGGGAAAAAACAACCATACACACCTGAGCAACTATTTAGAGGAACCAGCTACTTAGGCACTGAGGTTAGTGGTGGGTTGTACCTGTTTGAGGCGCAGCTGCTGCTCAGATTTGCAGGCAGAGAGGAGATGCCAGAGGGCAATGCTGTGCTTCAGGTGGCACCGTCTCAGGGCCTGAAAGAAGGACACAGAGTGAACCTGGGTGTGAAGGATGTATCCAGGAGGCTGTTCACAGCCTGCAGGTCAAACCTGGGGAGCAGCACAGGAATTGTTCACTGAGTCCTGCCAACCCAGGCAGGATTGCAGAACCTGGTCTGCAATGGGCTTCTTTCCTCTTCTCCTCTTCTTCCCCATTTTGCCTTCAACAATCCATCCTTTTGCTATCATGAAAGGGAGTGGGAAAGTGATAGGGCTGGTGTCACACCACTTGTCACAACATAGTGCCTGTGTCAGTTAAGGGCCTCTTTTCACACACCATTAGGAGAAAAAAACCTCCTACCACCACATTTGAGAGGTAAAGGGATGTTTTCAATCCTGTTCAGCACCAGACAATCCAGTGTCACTGAAAGCTGACTCAATTGAAAGTTCTCTCTTTTCTCAGTTTTAGCATTGCAACTAATTATGGTGACACTCAGCTGAGAATTCTCCTTCCTGGTGCTGAGAGAAGAGCTTGGATCTGCAGAGAAGGGTTTGACCTTCTGCAAACCTGACCTTTCTGTAGGGTTGGAAGGAACCTGATGAGCATCACGAACTATTAGACCCTCCCCTAAATACTGGTTGCAGGGAAAGTGAAAATTATTTCTCCCTTGCTATGGAACATGGTGAAGAGAGAATTCTACACATTCTTTTTCAAGCTGAACTTTTGCTGGGCTCGAAAATCAGACTGACTGGATTTAGTATAAGCCAGTGCAGACTTGATCCTGTAAGAAAAAGAGCTTTGTTCTCAGGACTCACCTGCAGTACATGAGGGTTTGTCTGATCCCCCATCTGCAGGACTATTTCAATGTAGTCAGTCAAAGGCATTTCAGGATTCTCTCCAGCCATGGCCAGGAATCCCAGGATGATTTCAGTGACAGACAGAGCATCACAGACATCACTGTAGGACTGTAGCTCCCCACTGATTGTGGTCATCACAGAGCTGGGGAGAGCACTCTGAAAACCATGAAGTCAAAGCAGTTCTAGTATTAGTTTTGAGCCATTTCTTACTGCTGCTCAAGTTGTTAAAGTCAGGGAAAATGGCTGAGCCCCAGGTTTAAGAAACTGGAAGTGCTTCCCTGTGTCCCCTCCCTCTGTACACCTTAACAGAAGAAGGCCAGTTTGTACATATTCAGGACATGCAGAGCTTAGCAGACAAGCCTTCAGCTGAACAAGGCAAGTGACAGAAGACAAACCTAACATTTCTTGGCATGTCAGAGGTCACATGCTTGCCCTACTTCCTCCAGTGCAGAAACCCACCTGATCCAGCTTATTCCTGACATCACTGAACAGCTGTTCATAATTCCGATCATGCCTGTACACAAGGGTGGGTATTCCCTGTCAGGAGAGAAACCCACAGCTGAACAGCTTTGGCAACATTGCTAACCCTGCTAGAGGGCATGCCTGGCTGCAGCAAACACTGCAGGGCTCCAGCAGCAGCCAAGAAGTTGTCTGCAGAAAGCCCATCTAGCTGCCTTCTCCTACCGTCAGGGTGATGAGTGGTTTCCCCTGCAGGAACTTGCTGATGACTTGCTGCTGGATCTTCTCCAGATCAAAGTCCTGCAGCGTCTCCCCTCCCTTCTCCATGCTGTACTGGCAGTTGGATGAGATCAGAGGGATCAGGTCTCTCTCAACCTCGTAACTGATCAAGTGCAGCTCAGCCACTTCTGAGGCACTGACCAAGTACCTGCAGAAGAGAAAACAGGCTCCGTGTAGAGCAACAAGTCCTTATGGACCAGGGAAGGCTGATTGTGTGCTAGCAGGGAGGAGGACTATTGGGACTTATGGGAAGGCTGATTGTGTGCTAGCAGGGAGGAGAACAGAGCCAAAAAAAGCCCAGCTGGAATGGCAACATACTGATCCTCTTCCTTGGTGTGTTTGTTCACAGAGTGGATGAAGCTGTTGTGCAGCCCAATGAGGTAACTGGCCAAGGCTGTGGAGCAGAGCCCCAGGCCGCGCCGACGGGGCAGCAGGACCTCGAGGCTGCTGTCCAGGGTCAGGTCAGCATCACAGTAGCCTTCAGGAAGGTTAATTTCCCCTGAAACAAAAGGCAGAGAAGACTGCTGGGGGTGGCCCAGAGCCAGCACACAAGGAGCAGGCCTCTCCTAAGCTGACCCAGGAGGAGAAAGGATAGATCCCAGACAGACAGTGCACTTCCGAGTGCTTATAAGCAGCAGAGGGAGCAAGGTGAGAATACTACAAGAGGGAAACACTTCATTTGCATCTTAAACCTTTAATGACCAAGGTCAGCTCTGAGGATGTGTCTCAGCATCCCTAGTGGAAGGAACCTGAGCTACTGAAGGGCAGAGGAGCATGGTCTGACAGCTGGCAAGCTCCTGCTTCCATCCTTCTCAGAGCAATGCTGAGAAAGAAGAGAACTAACCATTGGTGTCCAGTGAACTTCTCAGGCTGTTCCAAACAGACAGAAACACATTCACTCTCCTCTGGAACACGTCCCTCATCACATCTGAAGAATAACAAAGACAAACCCATGAGACACCTTTTACTGGCAACACCATGAAACTCAGTAACATACCAATGCTCAAAGCACACCATGGAACTCCAGGCAACTGCTCAAACAGATCACAAGAGACTAAACAGACATGAAACGTTAAAGCCACCTGCTGACTTTTCCAAGCATAACTCACAAGGTTAAGGTCTCCAATTCATTTGGATAGGAATTAACAGGACAATAAGAGAGCATAAGGTTGCAAACTCAAGGGAAGTTTTCACCTTCGTTTTCAACTGGACTCTCCAGTGCTTTTTGTTTCACTAATTACTGTCTTGGCCAAGGCTTCTCACCTGAGAGGGGTTCGTTGAGGAAGTCTCTGATAGAGGAGTTTTTGACATCACCAGTGTTCTGAAATCTCCTCACCAAGTCTCTCTGCAGAGCCAGAATCTCTGGTAAGAATTTAACCAGCCTCAGTTCTGTTTCCTGGAAGAGAAAAGAGGGTCTATGAGTAGGGGTGTCCTTGGACAAGCCAGTTTTGAATACTTATGGAATTACTTTTTAAATGTTTAGTTTAAAAATGTTTTACATGTGCAGTTAAGAGAATCAAGACACTGTATAATCCAAGAGTGGCTTGGTCCTGGGAAACTGGCTCTAGGTGACCCTGCCTGAGCAGGGGGGTTGGACCAGGTGACCTCCAGAGGTCCCTTCAACCTTAACCATCTGTGATCCCTTGAGCTGATCTCTTGAATGCTGCAGTCTCCCATCCCTGTGTCACACCCACCTTCTGAAGAAACTTCCAAAGGAGAGGGACAGTGTCCTTGGCATTCTTTTGCTGGACTACATGGCCCAGGTTCTCCACTGAAATCCTCTTCTGGCAGCTCCACATCTTGGAATGATGGATGTGACTGTCCTTGGGCAGCTGGGACAGGAAAGGGCCTGGGTCCCCATACACTATTTTCACTATTGGATTGGAAGAAATTCTCTCATCCTCTTGTATTCGTCTGTTTAACTGCAGAAGTTTTTTATCCAAATCCTGCATTTTAAAAATAAAATTCTATCAGAACTGGAAGCATCCTGCATGTTGAACCTCCCCCAGAGAATATTTCCCTAATAGTTTGGTGGCCATTGACACAGAAATACGTCAAGGCAGAAGATGAACTCCTAGGGAAGGCCTGTAGAACACACAGCAATACAGCTGTTTATACCATGAAGTTCTCCTCCTCATCCCTCCTTGAGATGATAGGGGGAAAAAGGGCAGAGAGGATCCATTCAGGGCAACCATATCCTCCCTTACACAAATCCTTCAGCTGAGCTAAGACATTTCTGCTTTTTCAGCTACACAAAATCCTCACAGCCCAGCTCTAGTCTCAGTTGTTCATTTCCATAGGTAGAATAAAGCTGGCTGACTCCTACAAATCAAAGCTAACCTGCACTTGTGCCATGGATGGCTTGGCTTTAGGAACAGCTGGTTGAAAAGTGTAGCACAGATGTTAACAGCAGGTCAGATTTCCAAGTAAGTGGATTTTGAACTGTAGTAGGTTGGTTGTTGTTTTGGTGGTTTTTTTCAACTACTTAAGTTTTATACAGCAAAATTCTCACCTCCAATTCAGGAGCAATAATTGTGTTTGCAACAATTTCTTCCCATTTGTTTCTCTTCTCCTTGGTGGAAAGCACGTTATCAAACTGAGCTGGCCCTGCAACAGGAATATTTAGTCTCACATCTGCAATATTTCAGTTAAAAGAAAGCACAGATTCTCTAAGCTTCCAGATGTGACATCCTTGTGAGCATGATGAGTCAAGAGTGATTACATAAGTCCTAGAAGCTAAACAACTATCTTGGTCTAGCTGGAGAGTGCCCTCCAAAGCAGCACACAGTGGTCACAAGCTTTCAGAAGCTCCAGTCAGGTCATTATTTTCAATGGTGGGGGCATTTGTACAAGTAATTATTAATTCCAGAAAGGTTAAATAAGTTTCCAAGCTCAGATCATGATTGATGACAGACCCAAGAACAGAGCCTAGAATACCGTTCTGTGCTGTCACACTAAAAATGTGGTTATTATGTATAAACACCCACCATGACACAGTGACTTGTCAACTTGAGCTCCAGATTCTACCATGAACCATCCCCTGCCATCCCTCTCCTACCAAGCAGCCTCTGGTAGTCACTTAGGGGACAGTTTATAGATTATACACAAGAGCCACTGTGCTTTGAGTAGTGCCCCTGAAAGCTCTGCCTATTGTCATGAGGTTATCTATTCAATAATCCCTTTCCAGAGTTGTGCACCAAACCTTGCAAACCCCACGTACTTAATGGGAAGAGAAGTAAACAGCAAAATTAATTCCCTACAGCAAGAAACAAGCCTCAAATTTCTGGATCTTCCTCATCAGCTCAGTTACTGCCTCTTGGAAATGGTCTGTTAGCAAAGCAGCTAAATAGCTGCTGCCCTTGAAATGCTGTGAGAGCTTTAAGATGTGATATGGCAGGTGGTTTTCCTTACTCTGGCCTGGGTGCTGATGGGGGTCCCTGAGAAGGCTGCTGAGGACAAGATGAAGAATGTTGATAGCCTCATCCACACTCTTCCCCAAAACTCTGGTCAGCTGTGCCAAGTCCTCCTGAATATGCTCCTGCAGGAAACTCACTGGGTTGTGCACCTGTGGCTTGATAATCCTTTGCAGTGCCTGAAGAGAAACAAAAGGGAAGAATGAGCACAGCCAAAAATGTCCAGGTCAAGCACAAGGCATGCAGAGCTCCAGTCTGACCAGAGAGTCTCAGCTCCATCCTATAGGATCTCTACCACTTGAACAAATAAAAGCAGGTGTGTGCATAGAAGTGCAGGCAAGTGCACAAAGGAGCCAAAAATCACTCCTGGGAAAGGAGGAAAGTGAATTTGGATCTTACACCTTGAAAAACTACCCAAGTCACTTGGCAACATGATGGAAAGGACCAGCATTGTACAAAGGTTTCAATGTGTTCCATGTGGCTGCTTGGAACAGTTACTGGAAGATACCCAAGGATCTTCTGTGGCTCCCAGCAGCATGGCCAGATGTGTGAGCACACGTATCAGGATGAAGGCCCCGGGGGACATGGCCCGCTCAGACACTCCCATGGATTTTCTGTGCTGTGCATCTCCAAGGACGTGGCCAGTTTGAGTTCTGTCTTCATGATCCCTGTTGGAAAGTGTATATATATTATTTTGCCTTGACAAAAAAACCCACAAGAGATGTCTTTGATACTCATGTCTTTTTGACTCCTAAGTTCTTTAAATGCCACAAAAGCTGCGCATGGGAAGTGCTACAGGGGAACAAGGACTTCCAGTAAGTTCTGTACATAAACCCATTTGGTTTTGCTGGCTGGTTACTGCCCCTTGGACATCTCTTTCTAATACGTTTCCTATGGAAGAGGCAACATCCAGCCCTGTAGGGCATGATTAGCCAGCTCTGTGCTGGAGAGATGAGAAGCCACTGCTGCTAGAATTAGAAACTAACATTCTTACACAAGGGCTCCAAGTGCTAATCCAGAGAGCTAAGGAGGAGCACAAGTTACAGTTATCAGAGCTCTAGTAGTTCTTCAATCATGATGATCCATGTTGGCTATTATTGTATGTTGGTGCAGAACCACAACCTGGATCAGCCTGGATGAGCAGGAGGTGGAAAACCCTAAAGCAGCAGCTTGACAAGATCCAGTCCTTGGAAGGGGCCTACAGGAAAGCTGGGGAGGGAACTTGTACAAGAGCATGTAGTGACAGGACAAGGGGGGAGTGGATCAGAACTGGAAGAGGGGAGGTTTAGGTTAGACAATAGGAAGAAATTCTTCCCTGTGAGGGTGGGGAGAGCCTGGCCCAGGTTGCCCAGGGAAGCTGTGGCTGCCCCATCCCTGGCAGTGTTGAAGGGCAGGTTGGATGGGGCTTGGAGCAGCCTGGGCTGCTGGGAGGTGTCCCTGCCCATGCAGGGGGAACTAGATGACGCTGAAGGTCCCTTCCAACCCAAACCATTCCACGATTCTATGACCTTCTGTTGAGGCAGTTTCTGCAAAACCCGAGTCACCCCAGCACGCCAGGAGCTGAGCCTCTTCCCCTCCCAGCTATGGGGCAACCCCACCTGCCAGGTGAAGTCAGTGGCACCTTCAGCCCTGGGGGCTCGGGAGGGAAGCTCTGCAGACCTACCCGAGCACCTGGAAGCCGGGCAGCGGGTGGTGCTGCCGCCCTCCCACCTCCGCGCCGCAGTCCAGGCAGCGACTGGTCTCCATGGGGCGCCCGCACTGCCGGGAAGCACAAGGACAACGCTCAGCCCCACAGAAAGAGCCAAACAGAACCCCAAGCTCTAACTGCTTCATTCCGGACCTGCCCCATCCTGGGACAGAGGACCCTGCCTCTCCTTTCCCAGGTTTATGGCATAAGCTGGGTCAGAGCTGCTCTAAATTTTACATGATGATGACAAAATTATTAGTAATATAGAGAATTTTGGAAATTAACATAAAAAATCAGTAAATTAAACAGTTTATTGTGGAAAACACCATCTGCTTAAAAAACCCACCAGTCTCAAATTCTTACCTCTCCCACAAGGCAGGGGTGGCCATTTAGACACTCTATCAAAAAGAAAAACAAACATCACATTGTTCTAAGATAGACATGTATAAAGCCCCTGGTATTTCCTGTCATAGGAACCACCACCTTGGAGCAAGAGATGGGCTTCAAGTTATCATCAAAAGCCCTGACAGCCCCAAAGCTCAAAGGACACATAGGCCCACACAGGAACCCAAGGGATTTTTTCAGTGCTACTCTCCTTGAGGAACAAGGAATGGAAGTGAAAGATTCTGCTGCTGAGCACCAAGCAGGCTGGGGAACAGGACTTCTCCCAGGGCCAGATTCCTAGTCTGCAGTAAGATCCTGCTGGGGAAAGCAGGGAACTGAAAGGTGGCCAGGAAGGTGGCAGAGTATCCCCCTGCCCCTCACACCACTTGAGCATTGCCAGAAGTAACAGGACAGGTTTTCTGAGCACTCAAACTTTATAAACAGCTATAGAATTGAGACTAACTAGAAGCTCAATGCACTTCAGTGCATTACCCACATGAACTGTATCTACAAATCTTACTTTGCAAAGGATAACTCATGCTGAGGAGTGTGCCTGTCCTCACATTTGGAACAGTTTCATTCAAAAACAAAGGATTATCCTTTAATTTCTTTCACAGCTAGTCAGGAACACTTACTGTACCAGTGCAGAGAGTTCAGTCCTTCCCAGGCCTTTGCCTGGGCCAATAAATCTTCTGGCATTGTAGGCAGAAAGGAGTGCTGAGGGGGAAAAAGGAGTGAAAGGGGATTAATTTATACATAAATCAGTTCTTCTCTGCAGCAGTTGCTCAGTGGCTCCTTATTCATGAGGGGGAAGAAAAGACATGTACAAGATGAGGTACATGCCTGTGTTTAAATTCTGCCTTTGAAAATGCTCTCCTAAGAGCTGCCAATATTCCCACACCTTGCACATGCACTCTCCAGACATGCTGGATTCCTCCAGGTAGCCCAGTGCACCCTGGTGGGTACCAGCAGGTTTCCTCATGTCTTGGACAAGCAGCAGCAGCTTCCTGTGCCCCAGCTCAGCCCAGGGTTCCAGGAGCAGGTAACCTCCCCAGGATGACCTGCCAACTCTTTCAGACTTTTTCTCTCAAATGTCAGCAAACGTATTTGCCTGAAACTGTTCAGGATGCAGAGGTACCTTGAGAAGGTCCCAGTCCAGAGCTGCCTGTTGTGCTAATTAATCCCAACACCACCAAAATCATTGTACACCAGTAATTCACAGCTCAAACAGTAAGTTGGTGCTTTTGACATTAAGAGAGGTCAGGCTAGAGAGGACCCAGCAGACAGATGAAAGAACTAGCAATATGTTGAAATGCCAATTGAGTTAAATCTCTTTACCTTCATGTCGCGTGGGTGGAATGCCAGCTTCCTCAGGGGCTGCAGGAGAGGGCTGTGCCCGCACAGCAGGACAGCTGCAGTGTGAACAGCCACCTCAGTGAGAGCCCCATCCTGGCTGAAGCTCTGAGGATGCACCTTCAGTGAGGGCACTGCATTCCTCACAAGAGAGGCTGCAAAGCGCTGCAGGTCTGGAGAACTCAGGACTTGGGAGCTCTCGATGAACTCGGTCATAGCATCTGTTTGCTGAAAGCACATATTTTAAAATAAATAAAACCAGTGTGGTAATGCCCACCAAACTGAAGACATCAGCTGCTTCCCAAGGTGTGCTGCCCTGCTTTGAAAACATTTTCAAATGTTTTCAGTCCCCTCTGATCAGGACTTAACTGTATTTGGGGCAGAAGAACAACAGGCTCTTTCACCAATGACTTAAGTATCATCCATCCTCAGCAATGAAGTGTGTTTGTCATGAGCTTCCAAAGTGAACTATCTTACCTGCTGCTTGGGATGAAGATTTGAGTCACTAGCTCCATACAGGGTAGTGACCTCCCTGAAAATAGCCAGGAGCAGATGGACAGATTGCACAGCCTGGGAGCTGCTGGATGCCTAGGAAAGAAAACTGATAAGGCACAGAAGGAGCTATGGTTGTGACAACTCAGATTTGACAAGGCTTCAGCTGGTTCCTGGGTGTGCAGGCTGCAGCAGGTGTGCAGTGCAACTCTGCCCACAAATGAAGGGGGACAGTGCAGAAATGGCTGCTGAAGCCATAATTAAGTAATTTGACAGCACTCAAGCTGATTGAGAGGGTTTTACCACAAAAACCTCTGAGGTATTTCATTCTTCTAACATCCAGTCAGAATGGTGGATGCAGCAGGCAGCAACCTGGACATGCCTTCCATCAAATCTACACACAAGTGGAAAAATCCAGCCAGAGAATAACAGCTGATAAGCACATTGTTTGCAGACCTCTTCCTGAGGATTTTCATGCACAAATACATATTGGAAAAATGTTCCAATTGCACAGAAATCCCCAGTTTGGTTTTTGTGTGGCAAGACACCAGGCCAGGCTGAGGGAAGGGGCACAAAGCTTTGTTTCTCCTCTGGCTGCTCTGCAGTCAGCTGAGCGCTGCCCACAAAGGAGGGAAGAGAGGGGAGAAATGGCTGCAAAAGCCATAATTAAGTAATTTGACAGCACTCAAGCTGATTGAGAGGGTTTTACCACAAAAACCTCTGAGGTATTTCATTCTTCTAACATCCAGTCAGAATGGTGGATGCAGCAGGCAGCAACCTGGACATGCCTTCCATCAAATCTACACACAAGTGGAAAAATCCAGCCAGAGAATAACAGCTGATAAGCACATTGTTTGCAGACCTCTTCCTGAGGATTTTCATGCACAAATACATATTGGAAAAATGTTCCAATTGCACAGAAATCCCCAGTTTGGTTTTTGTGTGGCAAGACACCAGGCCAGGCTGAGGGAAGGGGCACAAAGCTTTGTTTCTCCTCTGGCTGCTCTGCAGTCAGCTGGGTGCAAGGGGCCCATCCTGCTCCCTGCACAGCAACCCACGTGGCACATTGCATGGGGAGGAGAGTGAGAGGAGGCACCACAGGAACCACCTCAGGTGTGTGTGCTGCAACACGGGTGGGAAAGCAAAGCAAACACCTGCCAGCAGAAGCCACAGTGGCTTTCAAGCAAAGACAACCCAGGCATCTCCACTGGAAGAGATGTTGCCAACAGGAACAGCAGGCTTCAGCAGTGCCCATCTAGGCCCACAAGGGGCTTCAGGTGAGAACATGCCCTACCTTCTCAGCCTCCAGAAGATCCTCAGCCTTGCACTTGATCATGACCTTCCCCACAGCATCCCGCAGGGCTTGGTAGCTCTCACCACATGCCAGGTAACGATCGATGGGATTAGTCTGCCTGCTCTGCACCTGCAGAGGGAAAAGCCCAGGGTGAGCACTGTGAACAGTCACCAGCCACTGGACAAGACAGAATCCCCTGTGCCTCCCAGGAAATGAGGCATTTCAGCCTTTGTGAAGGGACAGCAGGGCAGGCACAGCAACCCAACCAGCTCCTCACTGCTCTAACAGCCTCCATCCACCAGAGAGGGAGAAATCATCTTTGTGCAACAGCAGAAACCCCCCAAGCAGCACAGACTGAAGGACACCAGAGCCACCTCCAAGGAGACACCTCTTTACCTGTTGCAGAATTTCTGCTGGGAACACCCAGTTAAACCGTGTGTCCATGACAAGCTTCTGAGCAAATTCCATCCCATACTGACCAGCAACCTTCCTGATGAGGAACACACGATGCCAGTCGTTCTTGGCAAGGCTACAGAAAGACCTCACATTGGCCAGGAAACGCTCCTTCTCCTTCACCTGCTTTTGCTCTGGAAGGGGAACAAACAAAACAAAACAGGCAAAACCACATCTTACCTTGTAACACTTTTCTGTCAGCACTAGCTGCAGCCCCAAGCTCCTTTTGCTGGTACTGACTAACTACACAGGAGATCTTGAGCCCTCTCTTCCTTAGATACTCATCTAGAGTGTTTCCTCAGATTTTACACAATTACTCACTTCTTCAACAGAACATAACGTGCTCTACTTCCATTTCCTTCTCTCAAGGACAAGTTTCCTGTTTACTGGTAGTTTGTTGTCAGCACTCTTCCATCTTGTTCAAGAATGTCTTTCCACTGTATCAGCTGCCAAGGTGCTGGTGCTCCCTAGGAACAATCTCCTGGGGTGATTTCACTAGTCTGATCCTCAGTGCAAGGGCTGGATCCAAATTGGTTATGTTACTGCACTTTAATGCTTCATGGACTGCATAAGTATCAGACTTTTCACAACTGTTCTCCTTTATTGGGTCAGTAAATCAGCTCAAAACTCCTTTTAATTATTTTTTTTTAAGTATCTCTTCATCCTTGTTAGCTGTGCAGAGCTCTTACTCACATAAAACACTAAGCCTTACAGCCAAGTATCTGAAGCATCATTTTATGCTTTATTCATTAAAGTTCAATTTAGTTTGTCCTAAATAAAATTTCATTGTTAGCATCTGGAGAATAAAATAAATCTCCTTCTAAGGGCCTGGCTGCTGTGCAACTGCACCCTTGGGGTCACCAGCACCTTGCTACTAGTTACTGAGCACTGCTAATACATGAGGAGGGCAAATAGTAACTGACACTCCTAATGAAACAGAAGAGAAAAAGCTGATGCACTCACTCTTGGCCCTGCATCAAGACAAGTTCTAGCACAGCACAGGTGCACTGGCTGTGCCCAGCCCACCTCCTGTGGTACTTTGCTCTGTGTACAGCATTTCCATTTGACAGCAGGATAATCAGACTCACCCGTGGGCCTGTGCAGGTCAAAGAGCAGCTCTGCAGCCTTGCTCAGGTACAAGCGAACCTTGGCTACTGCCTGCAGGTACTCAACAGATGATTCCTGAGGAGCTTCTCCATTGCTCTTTGGGAGGTAGTTCTCTGGAAAGCCTCCGTCTCCATGCAGATAGTTCACATGCTTATATCCAAGGTTGTCCTCAGACTTTTCACACATGGAATCCTAAAATGGACCAGAATATTGCATGAGTGGCAGAACCACTGCATCAGAAGTCCTGTGCACTGGTACTTTATACCTTCAATGCAGCCACACTGCAGTGAGCACATGAAAGTTTCATGTCTCACAGCACCCTGCAGACCAATGCCATTAGCTCCTCCCTGTGACTCTGTGGTGCTTATCCTAAAGCTCTGCCACACCAAACACCTTCTTGAACAATATATGCCCAAGCTCTCCCCAGTATGTTGGAATTTGAGTCCAGCTGGACCTCATGTAACACTTAGACACCTGTCCAAGGTGCCCATGAGACAGGAGAATTTCTGTCATGCTGCAAACACACACAAGCCTGACCTGGAAAACCAAGGCTAGTTACTGAGAGCAGGCTCTGACCAGGGGATTTGATATAATCTTCCTTTTGGGCTTTCTAGTTGGGCACCTGGTATGTTAATAAACTTGCCTAACAATGAAAGAGAATTCCCATTCTTGACTTTAATTCCTGCAACAGTTGTACTGCCCAGCTCTTACCCTCCCAGCACTCTTACCTCTAAGCAGTTGACAAACAGCAAGTAGAGCTCCTTTTTATCATTTGTCTCTAGGATCTCACTGTGCTCCACCAGGGAGAGGTAGCGCTGCACGTCGTTCTTCACCTCCTTGAAGCTACAGGAGAGAGAAACACCCCCTTTCCACAGCTGCAGTACTGACACCCTGCCTGTGTTGCACAGCATGATGGAACTACTAGCCATGTCCACGGTACAGGCAGGGGCCACTCTGGATCCATCTGGAAGATGGAAAGGCAATTGTGCCACCTTTTGCCAGATGACATCTCACTTCACACTGAGCTGGGCTTTTCATCAGCCACGCCAAGTTAGCATCCCTAGGGGATAAGTTGTTTAATCTCTTCTTCTAGGCATCTAATTGATATGATCATGCTTGAGAAATGGTTTCTGTGCACTGGGTGCCCAGGGAGGCTGGACAAGCTGGTGTGAACTGAGAGGTCTGTGTAAGCAAACAAGAGATCAGCTTGACTGAATGTGTGTGGACAAGGAGCACTGCTGTGCTGATCTGGAGTGTCTCCATTCGTCAGCTACCTCTGGGTCACCCAAGACACCCACAATCAGCACAGGTTCAGGTTAAGACCAGCCAGCTACACCTGGCACAGCCTGGGCATGTACTGGACACAAGCTCCAAGCAGGCCAGCCAAGCTGCATAACAAATGCAAAGGCACAGGATGAACATCACCCTGTGGCAGTTCAGGTTCAGTGAGCAGCATGAAGTGAGGAGAACCAGACTCTGGTCTGATGAAAACCAAAGCTGAACCAAGTGTAACATCCACCAGTTGTCTGTGCTCACCTGTACTTCAAGAGGAGCTTCAGCATTACCGAGCGGATGATGGGAGTCTCATCCACTTCCTCATTAAATGGGGACAGGAATTTTGTGTAGATCTCAGGGTGATCTGAGGAGACACGAGAGATGAGCCCCACAAAGTGGCAGGAGGATCAGGTCCATGAGGCTGAGCATCAGGGTGAAGGGAGCTCACCTGAACCTTTCAGGAGGACTCTGTGAACAAACAGCAGGTCAAGGAGCTCTCTGATCACCTCTGCCTCAGGGGGCTCATTGTCCTTGAAGCACATGGTGGTGACCACGTCGATGAAGAAGTTATTGCAGCGCTGCCGGAACTTGGCGTTTCTTGCTATGGCCTCGCTGGGGGAAGGCAGAGCATGAGGGCAACGTTCAAACACAGAAACACCCCAATCATGGGTGAAGCAAAGCAGACACAGCCCAGTCACTGAAGTGAGGCCCTTCTCCAGCTTTCCAAAAGGCTGGTTTTGTGCCACACCTCAGCAGCAAAGGCTGCTCCAGGACCTGCTGACAGCCAGGACCATGAAAGGCAACGTGGTGCCAGGTACCTTCACTGAGAGCTTTGTGCTGCCACAAAGCAATTTAAGGTGACAAGCAGTTCCCCTGTCCCATTCAGCCACTGACAGTGCTTTAGCTTGACCATATTTTGTAACTAGTTTTCTGATAGGGCCAAGGCAACTTCCTCCTTTCTTTTGAAACAGTACAAAGAGACAGGACCTGCTCATGCTCCAGAGAGAGCAGAGTTCCCTCCACCCATTCTGCTTGTGTTGGCAACTTCAGAGCTGCCGATCAGAACTTCCTCACACAACCAGCCTGACTGCAACACTTCCACCTTAGGCAGGGTGAAGTACCTGAGCTCCACAGAGACACTTAGATGATCATCCTCAATGGCCACTCTGCAGGATGGACAATGCATCTGTGCTGGCACGAGCCACATCCGGATGCACTTGTGACAGAACACGTGGCAGCAAGGCAGGGAGACTGGATCCTTCAGCTCCCCCAGGCAGATGGGACAGCACCTCAGATCATATCTGTAATTCAGAAACAGCAACAAACTCAATTGCTCCAATGTTGTCTAACCAAAAGCCTTTAATAAGATACTAATCTGCAAGTAGACCCAAGAGGAGATAATGCAAGGCCTGTTGGCTGCTGAGCTTCGGGGTGCTCTTCACTTGGCTTTCATGACATTGCATGTGGCAGTGCCTTACACCCAGAAACAGGCTGGCAACAGAGGCACTACTCCTACCAGAGCCTGCAACTTGTCTCCATGTCACTACCTGTAGAGCCTCCTGCTAAAAAAATGAATTCCTCCTTACATTGGCACAGAACTTTCATCACTGCAACAAAAGTTGGATGAGTCTTCATGTCTGAGCCGTGCTGAAAACACTGCAGAGGAAAAGGACAAAGCTGAATGACTCAGCCCTAATACCAGAGACAAAAATTCACAACATCAGCAGAGCCAAACAGGGAAGAGGTGAAATCACCTCTTTGCTTACCTTGCCAAGTAGTAAAGTGTATTTTTTCACCAAACTGTCAAGTCCTGGCATCAGAGTATTGATGTCAAGCAACACGTGTTTGACAAACAGGGACATGGAGAAGACCCGGTTCCAGCAGACTCTGGGGGAAGGAAAGGGACACTTCTCTGAGCTGAGAGAACCAACAGAAGGGCAGTATGAGGTCACTAATAATCTTACTGCTTTTGCTGCTCACCACTAAAGCAGCTGTGCACTTCTAATGCAATTTCTTCCTTTGCCCTTTGGTTTTCAGCCCTGGCTTTTTGTCCAGGACAAAACACATACCAGCACCTCACATGGTGAGTTCAGGACACAGGAACCTGTCCTGAGACACTGCAGCAGAATGAAAACCACTGTGAAGATGTTCTCACGCCTCTAACTTCTACATTAAGGAAGTAATTTTAAAAACTATTCACAATTAACTGCACTTTCTTAATTTTGGTTAAACTAAACAAGGTCTGTGAGAAACTGGGGTAGCTCTCTGGGCTTGTCTTCCAAGAGACAAGACTCCATCTCAAATACATTGAATTTCCCCATCTGTCACAGTGTTCATCCATGTGGGATGAAGTGAGGAGACATGGCTGGATAACAGGAACCTAAGAAGAGCTTTAAATACCCTCTGAACCCAGCTAGAATGCACTGAAGGACACTACCAGATTTAGAAGGAGAATCTACATGAGATAAGGAAAGAAAATCTGGCTGTTGATGCTTATTACAGACATAATTGAGCCTAGCAGGAACCTGGAAAAGTTTGAAAAGTCTTTGAGAAAAGCAGCACCAGAGCAGCTTTCAGCCTGCACTCATGTTCTGAACAGCAAGGCAAAGGATCCAGATTGTCAGTGGATCTGAGGTACATACTCAAGTTCTTCTAGCAGCTGATGGCACCAACTGCTGCTTCTCTGAAGATCCTTCTCCTTACAAAGAAATTCCAGGGGCATTTGAAGATTCTTCACCTTCTGCAGCCAAATCACTGGGTCAATTGTCTCCACTTGATTCTCCAGCTCCTCAGCACACGCCGTTGCAGCCAGCACATCTAAAACCTAGACACACACACAGGGGGGAAGGATGAGACAATTGCATTTCAGAACTATTTATGAGCCCTGGGCTCTCCATCTGCTTTGCTAGAGCACATGTTCTACTGAATAATGTTCTACTTGATTCTTTAAGCTCTGGAATGCTCATGGCTCGGATAATTAACACATCCCATTCACTGATGTGAAAGCAGGGCAAACTATTTTAAATCCTGCTAGTAGCAACAATAACAGCAGATTATTCCTGAGGATTCTGAGCTTGTGCTTCCTACTTCACTGTTCCTGAAATCAAAAGGAGACTGAGCAGCTAATTCAGTGAAGACAGAGCCCTCTGCTAGGGCTGAGGATCACGAAGTGTCTGGCAGTGACTCTACCATCTCTTTATGAGATGTTCCATCTCTTGTCAGGTTACTAAGGTGCTGAACCACATGGGGGTGGACAGCCAGGATCCTGGAGAAGTTCTGCAGGCGGCTCTTGAACCGGTTGTATCCCAGGTGGACCCAAGGCAAGGATGGCACCAGCTCCTCTCTTCTGGGAGATGTTGCTTTCCATTCCTCTATGCAGGATAAGAATGCACTTCGCAGACACTGGAAGTTTAGAAAAAAGTTAAAAACATAATTAAAAAGAACTTTTATATATAGCCCATTTGGTACTGGAAACCCTGGGAAAAAAAAAAAATAAATCCTCCAAAATCAGAGAATCAGTATTTTACAAGGAGAGCCTTAAATGATGCCTCAGCTCATATGGGTGCTCCTATGGACTTGCTCTTCTGAGCAAGGTCTCAGCAATTTCAGCAGCCATTCTGTGTCAAATACATCTGCTTTGTGGCCACCCTGCTATTAGCCTGTCTCACAGGGGATTTCATCTGAGAAGAAAAGATTGATACAGAAGGGCATGTCCATGGGCATCACACTCTTCTCTCCATCCAAAGGGTTCCCAGCTCTTGTTCCAGACACTGACCTGCAGCTCCTCTAGTGAGGACACACCAATGCTCAAGGCTATGAAGTCTGTGATGTAGCACTGGAAGAGCATCTGCCTTTCTTCCTCAGTCAGAGCAGAGATAAATTTTCCCAATGCAGTTTTCTGGAAGATATCCAGAAACTTCTCAGCTTGGTCTGGAAAATGAGAATGTACATTAAAACTCCGTATTAGGAGGAGACTGCGTTTGCCACAGCTTCTATCCTTAAGAGACTGACACCTAATTAATCACTGATGCATATATAACTCCCTTCATTCAGAACACTAACGAGGGATTTGGGGCCAGGCCTTCTCAGCCCAGGCACCAGGGACATAGTTATGGAATCTCACCTTGGTTTTAAATTTTGGCATTTCTACAGCCTTTTGAATACAAGGGCACAGAAAGAGTGAGAAGCATAAAGAAAAGGTACTTGGACAAAGCTCTGCTGGCTCCTATGAGCACAGAGATTGAAGGTGACACCAGATTGACAAAGGTAGAGGCATAGTAGTGACAAACCAGAGTTTACAGGGCACATGGATGGAGATGCTCTGGGTCAGGAACTCAAGCCAGGCTCTCACCTTCAATGTTCTGGATGTATTGAGCTTCCAACCACATGTCATCCAAGTACTCCTTTATCCTCCAGCTGAAGGGCATTTCATTCCCAGCATCAGCAGACACCATCATGTTGTTCTGCACCAGAATGATCTCTGGCTGAGAGCTAGAAGATTAAAAGCTCATTAATAGACTAGGCTCTTGCCTGGGAAACACATTCAGACAGAGGCAGGAAGGTGCAGAAACCAGAAAATTAGACCCAGAAAGGAATGGGAAGGGGAAAGAATCAAAGGACTCATTAATACAGCTGATCCTGCTGACTCTGTAGCATTAGGACTAACTCAGCATTCCCTGGCAAAAGGGCTGCAGTGGCAGGACATGTGGGCTTCAAGAACTGGGTGAGAATTGTGAGTATGCCAAGAGCTGGAGAGCAAAGCCCAGGAGCACGGGGGACAAGGTAGAAAGAATAGGTTGGTGAAGTGACCCAGGACTGCCCTGCTGCCCTCAGCATAGCACAGGGAGCAACCAGCAGTGCTCCTCTCCTGTGTGGATGCAAACCAGTGCTGGACTGGGCTGTGCTGCCAGCCAAACCCCCCTGCTGCTCCCTCCAGGGGCTCACCTGTTCTTGCCCACGCCGTAAGGGACAGTCAGAAGTTTTGTGTCACTGAAGATGAACATCCACAGGTTTGTCACCCACTCAGCTGCTGGCCTGGCCAACAGCTCCAGGTTCCCATTTCTGTCTATGACAGAAATCAGGAGAGCCAGGAGTGGAGTGATCACACTCTGGACTCTCTTCCACAAGGTATTCCTGTGAGGGCAGAAAGAGATCAAGACACCCCCAGGAAAGGTGAGCAACAATATCTGCAAATCAGGAGGTGGTTGTCCTGAAAAAACACTGACATTTGCATGTGAGAAACTTCTGACCCTGCCTTCAAGGCGAAAAACCCACCATCAACAAAAACCTCTAGCTCCTCTCACTCCTGGCCTGCCTGTAATCCCACTGCCCCTCTCACAGCACTTGTGCATTCGTCCATGCCTGCCCCAGTACTGCCCATTCAGCAATAAGTCACCCTCCCTCAGGAGCCAGGGGAGGACAAAACTGCCTTCAGAGAGTTTCCAGCACAGACTGGAGACTGACATTGCCAATATTCAGATGACACAGAACTGCTGTCTCTGCTGCACAGCTGCCATTTGCAGACGTTTCTTGGGAGCCTGCAGGTTCCAAGAGCATTGCTGTGCTCACCTGAAGGTTCCTGCCTCCTGGAGAGCACTGAGGTTGAAGGCCACCCGAAGCACCCATTTTTCTGGGCTGAGGGAATTTTCTTCTTGCTTCTTCAAAAGGTTGGAGAGACGAGCCTTTGTTATCTTCAGGAAAGAGGCTGGAAAGCAACAGGGAACTTGCATTTTCTCTTCTCATAGCATTGGATCCAAACCCAAATATCACACTGAGCACAGCATTTTACAGTTGTGTCAATAATTGGCTAAGGGGAAAAAATCAGCCACCAGAGTTAGCCCAGACAAAGAGCCATGCTCTGAGCTCCAGGAAAGCCCTACAGCCAAAGGAGCAACAGACTGGAGCACAGACACACCCCCCTCCTTGGGAGATCCACCTTGTCCACAACACAGCACAGACCACTGACCTTTGGGCCCCCAGTGAATTAGCTCATGTTTTGCTGATCCCCTAGACCACCAGGGGCACTGTCTGCTGCAGCCAGGGGGCACGTACCTTTCAAGTCATCCTCTTTGGACAGAAGAGCAAGGAGTATCTTAATTCTCTTTCTGCTTCGACTAAGATCTTCATTTTGGTCGCGCAGCATCCCCACAGCACCCTGCACACAGGTCCTCAGCAGCACAGTGGTGTCCAGGATTTCACCCTTTCCCAGAACAGCATGAAAACAAGTTCATTACTCTTCAGCCTTACACCCTTCAGGGTGTAGAAAGACAACAGACACAAAGCTGATTTTTACAACACAGGAGTGTGAAGTTACTAAGGCATTAGAGGGTCCTTAGAATGGTTTGCTTCTTTAATGATGCTGATTTTGATTGGGCTGCAGTGGGAGGAATTTGTCTGATCATTAACATGATACAAATAATGTTCCTGATGGATTTCAAGTGAACAGGGATAGAAAAGGTGTGTTGCACCTGTGGATGGCAAAGGGCAAAGAGCCACATTGACAGCTGAGAAGCAAACGTGTTCTGAACTGACCTCATAGTGCTCTGCTTCTGGCATTGATGTTTCCACCTCCATTTCATTTTCCTCCTGTTCTTCATTCACAGGCAGAGCTGAAACTAAGGAGTAGAATTTATATCAGAAAGAAGCAGTACACTTCTGCATCAGTCAAGTAACAGTTTATTTAGCAACTGGATCCCAGAACATCTGCCAGAAATCCCTTATCACCTGCATAAGAAGCTGAGATCCACCTCTCCAAACACAGCTAAGCTGCTAAGGCTGTCAAGCCTCAGGCAGCAAGAACTGCAAGAAACAAGACACTAAGAGCTCCTGGACTAAACTCTGCCAGAATCCTGTAGGGCAGGATGGTGGAAGGAAAAGGTGTGAGAAAAAAATGAGGTAAAAAAAAAAGTATTTTTAACCTTGCTGTAGGTAGGTGAACAGGTCAATATTCACACAAGAGATATTGACTGGAGTGATTCCCTGCCAGGGGCCTCTGAACAGAACAGAGGGTGCTGAACAGAACATTTGCCAAAAGGAAAAACTACCAAATTAACTTACTTGATGATTCAAAGTTTCAGTAACTAAACAAAAATGCAAGTTGGCAGCCATGTGGTGACCCCCACAAAAAACAGATGCTGAGCAGGGAAAAGCATTAGGTGTGTGGTACCACATAAGTTCCACTAGCACCAAGCCTGAGACCACATGTCCCCTCCTCTCCACCAGTGTAACACCACCACTGGCTGCAGAGCCAGCATGCAGCTCACCTTGGGCTTTACCTGAATCCTCACAGAAAATCTGGCTGATGGTGAAGTTCTGCAGGGCAGTCAGATCAGAGATCATGTCTTTGGATCTGCGGAGATCATCTATGTGCACTGACTGCCACAGCCCTAAAGGCAGAGGACCAAAACACCAAATCATTTTGTGCCTGCAGCATGCTCTTCTAGAAGAGCTTCCCAAGACCTATCTCCCAGTACCCGTGGGCTAGCAGTTCACATTCAGAGTTTGCCTACTTTCACTTCTTGATGTAGAAAGAGAAAGCAGCAGTGCCCTTTTAACACACACTCTGTCTGCAAGGCTGGGAGGCTCCCAGGACCCACCACCCATGGCAGGAACCTCTCTGCTGAAAGCAGAACACAGGAGGAAATACTCAGGAACCTCCTGGAGGACAATATGCAAATTCAATTAGCATAATGATTGCTGCTCTCCAGCTGGCTAGAAAGAGGACTCCTCTGTCAGTGGGAAAGGTGAGCAGCTTTCTGAGGAGATGAGGACTCCAAGGTACTGACTCCCTGGGGACTGTCCCTGTGGGTAAGGGAAGCAGCTCTTGACAACCCACAGGGCAGATTCTAGATTTTAAGCATTAGAAGGGAAAGTGCACAAGTGAAATGTTGCTTTGGTATGTTTGCCTGAAGCCAGCTGAAGGGCAAGGAGCCATGGTTGGCCAGACCCACCTCCATGGAATCCCACATAGGATGTTCCTCCTTCCACCCGGGAAAGCTTCATAATAAAGTAAACAAAGACAGAGACTTCTCCCAGGTCCACCTTGTTGATCTCATTAACAAGAGTGTATCTACAACAAAGAGGAAATCTGGTTGACAGATCACAGGCAGATAAAGGTTCATGGCCACCAGTCCTTCCTCTGCCAGAGAACAAGTGACTCACTCACCCCTTCCCTCCCAGCCCCCAGCTGTGTCCCAGTGATATCCCTGGCCCTCAGCTCTTTGGAATTTCTGCAGCCATTGACCAGAATTCACACTTCAAAGATGATTATTTTGGTGATCTGACCCAGCTTAGGGTTTGTTTTTTCACTTGGATTATGAATTCTTATTTGAAATACAATTAGTGCTTCTAGATTCATTCCGCTACAGAATAAAGAAAGGATTACACATTCCTGATTCTGCAGTCCCCAGATCAGCCCTGAATCAGATGGGGCTGAGGAGACACCAGCAGAACAGCAGGCAGGGAACCACTTCACACTCAACTTACTTGGCTGAGGCGATGAGCTGGGCATTCTGAGAGCCATCTTCAAAGTCTGTCTGGATAATAAGGACCTTGTTTCCTGATGTGGCATCAAGGAAATCTCTGAAGAATGAAAGGGGATTCAAAAGGAGTCACTCAGTGTAAAAACAAAGCATGGAAGATTGCAGAAGTAGTCACTCCACGTTAGCTCTGGCTGGTGCAGGCAGGAGGAGAGATTAAATCACCCTCCCTACAGGGATGCAGAACTTCAACAGCCCATCTGGCTACAATGGAGCTCAGAGTCAGAGCCAGCTCACTGCTCAGCACAGCAGGGCCACTTGCCTCCCTCTTCTATCTGGGTTGTTTCAAAGGTTCTGCCCATGCATCCCCCACCCAAGCAGGAGGATGCACACCCAGACTCACCTGATGCCCTTCAGGAATGAATACTCTGTGTCAAACTGCTGCAGGAACAGGATTTGAGGCTTCTGTGCTTTACCCTGCACTTCTCTCTCCAGACAAGCAGCATCAGCGCTGGTGAGGAGCCTGGAGAAGGTGGTGACCTGGGAGTGGAAGAGGTAGGTTTGTTCTTAGCTTGGGAAAGCAGCAGACCCTTCCTCATCTATGCTCCCAGATGCTGCTACCCTGCTGCAGAGCTGTGCTGCACCCCAAAAAAGGCCACTGCCAAGTATCCTGACACAGTGACTCCTGGTGCTGCCAGAGGTGAGGCCAGTGAGGCAGCTGAGAAGGGGCAGCCCAGGCTTTGAGAAGGTCCTGGTGAAGCCCTGTAGAAGTTCCTGCCAGGGAGCACCAAGTCCTGCCCCATAGAAAGCACCTTGTCTCCATGTGAAGCAGGAGAGGGAGAAATTCTCCACAGCCCATCACAGCTGAAGCCCTTTATCTTTAGCACTAAGCAAAAATAAACCAGAGATATCCCTATTAAAGGCCCACGAGATCTCTGGCTGTTTGCAGTTCAACTGGGCCTTTTGTATCTTTAAGCCCAGAGGCAGAGAGAAAGAAATGAAGGTTCAAAGGCTCTTGAGGACCTTCTGCAGCCAGCAGAAAGCAAACAGCCTGTTTGGCAGGCTGTGCTCATGGAGACAGAGCTACTTTCAAAGCAAAGAGACACATCAACTGCCCAAACTCACTTCAAACCCCTACTTGCCAGGGAGCATCAAATACTACGTCACACGCAGGGGAGGCATCAGACTCTCTGGGATGCAACGACCCACCTGCTGAAAACCCAGCTCTGCACACCAGCTCCTGGGCAGCAGGGCTGTGACCAAGAGCCCTCGGGTGTAGCTGCAGAGCCCTGGCAGCACCAGCCAGCTCAGGCAGGCTGTGGGGTTTGGAGAGGACACTGCAGGACACTCACCTCTGTGAAGACCGTCTGGCAGGCGGCCCCGGCACAGAGCTGGGCTCGGAGGAAGTCTGTGAAGGACGTGTGCTGCTGCTGCCTGAAGTACAGCCTGGCCAGGGCGCCCGCCACGTGCAGCCCCACCGAGCTGCAGCGCCGGATGACGGAGTCCGGGGTGGCACAGCTCAGCAGGGCCAGCCGGGCCTCCCGCACCACGTGGGACAGGAGCTCAGCAGGAGGACACTCTGGTTTCAGCCTCTCCGTCACCTGCAGCACCACCGAGGCGCAGGTGGTGGAGTGGTAGCCCACAAACACATCCGAAGGGCTGTACTTCTGCTTGCCCATCAAGTGCCCTTCTGCATCGGCCGCAGTGAACTCGTGCACCCACTTCTGCAGCTCCTTCACGGCTTCTCTTTGCCCCTTGTCCAGGACGGTGCTGATATCCAGGTAGTGCTTTTCCAGCCTGTTGATCAGCGGGATGGGGAAGTGGTTGTACACCACGTCCTTCTCCTCGATGACGATCAGCCGAAACTTGGGGTGCACCCGGCACTTCACCCGGTGGGTGCCCAGCCCCAGGTCAACATACTTCTGGCCAGCCAGGTACACGTAGTATTGATTGAGGGCATCGTAGAGGCTTTCATAAAGGTTCTGCAAGTTGAGAAGCACAACCATTTGGCCAGTTTCCATGCAGACCTTCACACGGTTGATGTTCCTGCATATCTGGGTGTACTCCTGGTCCTTGGGGAAGCTGGAGCCAAAGATAATTTCTGGCTGATGTCGGGCAGTAAAGAAAGTCTGCTGGAGGATCTGCAGTGCTGTGTAGTTCTCAGTCAACACAAGCAGGTACCTGCAGTCACCATCCTGACTGCTGCTCTGAATGTTCTGTCGCACCAGATCAATTCTACTGATATCATGAGCACGAATTTCTCCTTTTTCTGGTAACTGTGAGGTGAATATTTCCAAGGCATTGACATCATCTTTGCCACCAAAGTTACGAAGAACAAGTTCTGCTATGTCTTGAGGTGTGGGCTCACTTTTGGAGCTTTTAGCTAAGGCAAAAAGCATCTTTATGAGGCTGTAGTAGTCACGCAGACCAAAAAACTCCCTGTCTTGGGCCTCACAAATCTTTTCATATGCATCTGCAAAGTGAGAAAAATACTGTTCAATCTTATGCAGAGCCCCTCGTGCTGAGCAACAAATCCCCTTTGCACTTTCTACAAGCTCTGCTTTGCTGGGGTCACCACGTGAGACAAAGATGCCTCGATTCATTTTAGCGGGGTCCAAAGCCCAGTTGGAAATCCCAATGAAGCCAACCTTTTTGTGAGGAAGAGGGTCATCATCTATGCAGCCATCTTCCAAAAGGGGATGCAAAGCCTTCAAGGGCATTTTGGGAGAGTCTTCTGCCAGCCCAATCTCATCCAAAACCACCACTGAGACGTATTCCTCTAAGTTCTTCCCTTCCTGGAACCGAGCACAGTGCTTGAAAGTGCCTATGATTCCCTCTGGAGTGGAGAGAGGGCTGCACTGAAAAGACACCAGATGGATCTGCTTCAGGTCCTTGAACAAATCTGACTGAGATGCTTGGCCCTGCATAGCATCAGCCACAATGGTTTTTGCAAGGGATTTGGAGCTCCCAGGCTTCCCAACAAGGAACAGAGGGATTTTCAACTCAATGCAGATGACCATCATGAAGACATTTTCCTTTAAGGCCAAGTTTCTTGCTATGGTATCCCGGACTTGCACGCCACTCAGGAATAAGTCCTGCATCAGAGAGATGTCTTCCAAAATCTTTTTCTGGTTACTGTAGGGTCTTGGAAGGACCTTGCTGATAGCACTCCTATATTCCTCCTTCTTTTCCAAGGATGCATGATAGCAGACCCCAACTGCCAGCACTAAGGCCCAGATGATGTTGTTTCTCTCATGGGTGCTCTTTGAAGGTTTCTTCTCAGCAAGGTACTTCTCCAGCTCTCTCAGGAGCAGCTTACTGTGCCTGTGAAACCACTTGAAAACTTCCATGCAGCGTTCCACGTCCCGCAGGCTGACGAAGGTGCACTCATCCCCCCTCTGCCTCATGTACTGCTGGGAAGCAAAAAGCACTTCTGTGATCACCTGGGCCTCTGGCGGCGCCATCCGGACGTGCTCCGTGACTCTCTGCACAATCTGCTGAATATACATTTTTTCAGTTAAGTTGTTCAGCTGCCCAAAGTCCCACACCAAAGGGATCATGCTGGGTGGGAGAGCATGGACCCGGTACACGAGCTGCCTCAGGGGAATAGATCCAAGCTTGTCCTGTGTCTCCTCTGCCGTGACTCGGTAGCCCAACCCAGCTAATTCCAGGCGCTGGATCATCTCTGGTGTGTGCTTACGGTAGGGGTTGCAGGCTGCTATGATCTTCAGGCCAGAGCCAGAGACCAAAGGCTTCCCCTCTACTGTGTGGTCACACAGAACTTCCTTGATGCTGCTTATGGCCTCTGTGGTGTTGGCTTCATCAAAAAAGAGGACTGTGTCCAACCCGTGCTCCTCCTTGTTGATTTTAGCAAGGGCTTCTGCTTCTCTGATCCTGGCATAAATCATCTCTGCAGTGGTACCTCCATGGACTTTCACAAGCTTCATGTTCTCTGCCTCTAAACAGCTCTTGCGTAACTTGCACAGAAACTTGATAAGTCTGGTTTTCCCACAGCCTGTTTCTCCCATGATCACAACTGGGATGTTGCACCTGAACCGCATCTCAATAGCCAGGATTTTCAGCATGTTGTCCATTGTGAGCTCGTATGTCTCATCGGGGTCGCTCACCCAGGGGATTCCCAAAACCATGCAAAGCTTCTCTAGCTTCTCGTGACGAGGCAACTGGTCAAATGGAACATTGAAGGGAACTCTTTGGAGTAACAGGCCCTTGTACAGCCTTTTAGTCATGACATTTCTCTTGATAATGCTGCCATCCAAAGGATTAATGGCATCAACACCGTGATGGCCGTTAGGCTGGAAGTGGAATCCAATGAATGTCATAGACACACGATCTTCATTGAAAAACAAATATGGATGAGGCTCAGACTCCCACTTTTTCCGAATGCGGAAAGGAAGAAGATCTTCTTCTGCAATGTTCTCCAGGTGGAAGGCCTTCCTTCCTGAACTTTGATCAGAAATGTTTAGGGAAGGTGTTGCAAAATCCCTCGCCATTAAAATCATGAAGGCAACGACAAAGGTTTTGAAACCTTGCAAAGTGTCCTGGACAAAGTCAGGGTTGCAAAAGACTGAAGCTTCACAGTCTCTCAACTGAGTGTTGAGAAACCAGGTGAAGTTTCGGAGTTCTGCCCAGGAGGGCTCCGTGACCCCGCAGTGCAGGAGGAGCAGCTGCAGACATTCTGCTGGGCTGCCCTCCACCGAGTGGGCTTTGTAACAGAACATGTCCAGATCCTGCCCCTGGTGAAATCTCTTCAGATACTGGAAAGGTCTCTGGAAAGCCTCACTGCAGAATTCCTCCTTGTCCATTCCCAGCTCTGAAACATCCCCAGACTGGTTCCCAAGTGTCTCCATTTCTAGTACTTCCTTGGGAGACTTGCATGTTACTTTAGGGAACACATCAAAGAAATTAAACTTCTGGCTCACTGACATCTGGAGTAAAGGAACAGAAAAGATGTGATCACAAAGCTGTAGCCTCAACCTTCCTCAGGCTGTTTCCTCTGTTCTTAACAGTGCTCTTGCCTAAAGCTCCAAGGCCTAACTGAATACCAGCAGCTGGCCTATGCAGCCATGACACTTCTTCCACTGTGCATCACTTCTGCTTAAAAAATTAATCTTGTTTCCTTCTGTAGTCTCCTTCTTGTAGCCCTTTGTGAGCTCCAGCCCCCCCTCAGTGCTACCTCAAAGAAAACGAAGCCCAAAACCTGTTATTTATCCCTGACATTTCTACACTGTTCTTATAGCTGCCTATAAATATTCTGCTACTTTCAAACATGCAAAGTAACATGGGGAAGACTAGATTTTGCATTTTTGTTTCCTATAAATATTCCAGTGGGGCCAGTGAAGCTTGGACTAACAGGCCTTCGGAAATCAACCCAAGAAAAACATATGACAGGTATAATTTACTGCCTGGTGTTACCATCACTTTGTACAACAGCAGAGACATCCTTTGGGATGCACAATGCCCCCTGAGACAGACAGGGAGTCCCTGTGCTATGTTTACAGGTATAGTCTCTGCAACTCCTGTGCAGCTACATACAAACATACATGCAAGATGACTGAGGGACTGAAAGCAACGAGGTGCTGCTGTGTACATACATGTCTTGCTGCTTTCTTTGGCACTGGTGATACCTCAAGGATTTCAATGATGTACAAATGGCTCTGCTGCCGTAGCCACATATTTCCATTATTATCTGTCAGGTACTGCAAAACCAGCAGCTTGAACAGAAACTCTGGAATTCCTCTTTGTACCTGTCACAAAGAAGACAGAAAGGCATTTCCTCTTTATTTACTCATCATAACTTCATGGAATCTTAGAGCAGTTGAGGGTGGAAAGGATCTCTGGAGACCATCTTGCCTGACCTCCCAGCTCAAAGGCTCAGCTAGAACAGTTGCCCAAGACAATGGCCAGTCAGGCTTTTAATACCTGCAAGGCTGGAGACTCAACAGCTTCTCTGGGCAACCTATTCCAGAGTTCCGCCACCTTGATGGTAAAGAGTTCTTTATGTTACTGACTTACACAACAATTAGAAAACACGTCCTAGTGAAATGGCTTACTAAGCAACAAAAGCTTTGGAGAAACAACTTCTGGAAGGATGCACATAGAACTTGCAGGATAAGGCAGCCATGGGAGGGATGTACTTACTGAAGAGGTGATATCAAAATGGAATATCATGGGCTTTGTCTGGTGTTCTTCCTTCAGAAAAGGCAGAAGAGATTTTAGCACTTTATCTTCATCCACTTCTGGTTCAATTAGTCTGATGGTTTTCAGAAGTTCTGTACAGTCAGGCTGCTCTTCTTGCAGTCTCTCATGCAGCCTTTTTACATACAGAGATTTCCCTGTAATCATAAAAAACCAAAGGAATTAAAGTTATTTTTATCAATTACATCCTATTATGATCATAATAGAAAGAAGGAAATTAAAGGCTTAAGCACTGTGTTCTCTGAAATTTCTGAATTTTAGAAGAAGAAAGCCTAAAACTGGTCAATTTGCCTAAATCTGGTTAATCTGCCTCAATGTGCAGCCTGGAATCAAAGCCATTGTTGTTGTTGGCTACTGAGGGCTGTCACTATCCTCACGTGTTTTTTTGCTTAGACTACCTGGGGAAGAGTTTACATTTCATTAGGACTTGAATCTACTCTGTTACAAAGTTGCCTCTCAAGCCCAAACATGGTGGAGAGGAATGGTTGCTGTCAAGGAGAAAAGCATCCTCAAGTTTCCCAGCTTATCCTGTAGAACTGATTTTCCCAGTGGCTTTGTTGCTTGCAGCTGGCTCCAGTCTGCATCTGCTGCGTTTGTACAGATTTCCAGACTGGAGCTGAGGCACCAGCCATTCCACAGTTAACAACCAGGAGCTGCCCTGGAGTTCTGAAGTTTGACAAAGGATGGAATTTGTTACCAAAACTGTTTGGGTTTTTCTCACTGATCCCTGGAACATAGTGTAGTACACTTTTCCCTTAGACCCCAGCCATTTTCACTGGGGTGGTGTCTTGTCAAAGCCCAGGAGTGGTTGGTGTAAGGGAAAAGCAAGGTCTGATGTTGCTCCTGTGTGTGCACTAGAAACTCTTCAGACTCAAAGCTGACACAAGGAACAGGCAGAGCTGGGCAGCCAGGGCACTTTCTGGACCAGCAGTCTCTACCAGAGGACAGCAGCTAAGGAACAGGGTC